CATGTGGGACTACGGGTTCAAGCTTACAGCTATAGCCTTTGGCTCTAATTGTGCTGGGACTTGCACGTGGCTTTGCCACAAGAGGATCGCGCCCTCTCCTTAGTCCCAGGCTTAAACCTGTCCAAACGCTGTAGCCACTCTCCACATGTCTCCACCAATGCTTTTTGAACTTCCTGTTCCAGCTTCATAGGTCCTGGTCCTGTTTCTCTACAGGCATGTAGAGTGGGAGGGCGATTTTGCTTCACCGGGGAACATTTGGTCACTTTTTAATGTTCAAAGCATTTTTTTTTTTAATTGAGAAACATCGGTAGGTTGCCTCCACATGTTTCTCATGGGATCGAACCCGCCACCTTTTGGTGTACAGGACGATGCTCCAACCGACTGAGCCACGTGCCGGGGCTGTCTGCAGGCATTTTAGCTGTCATAGCTGGCGCCTCGTGGGTAGAGGCCGAGGTGCTACTAAACATCTCACGGAGCACAGAAGAGCCCCCGGAGCAGAGAGAGCCGCCCAGCTCATCGGCCGTGCTGAGGGCGAGAAGCTGCCCGCTGATCCTCTCCATCCTCTGGCAAGGAATCGGGCAGCGTGGCTGACGTAAACGGGCTTAGAGGGGAGACCCCCACGGACAGGAACCCTTACAGGTACAAGGCTCGAGTGCCTAATGCTTCAAAAGAAAGACCAATAATCAATACGTCAGAGTTTGGGATTAGGGAAGGTTTAATGATTGGGAAGAAAGCCGACTGAGAAGATGGGAGAACTAATCGTCGGACCCCTCTTAAGAAAGCCCCAAATTCAGGCGTCTTTTCTGTCAAGGGAAGGGAGAGGGGTGTGGTCAGTAGACAGCTAGGGGCCAACAGGGATCCAAGACGGCATTGTCTGGACCTGATGCGAGCTGCCTTCCAACTGGGCTCACCCAGCGGGAGCACCTGCAGGCTCTGGAGGCTGGGCACAGACAGCTCCGTGCTCCAGGCCACACTCTCTGTGTGGCTGTGTCCTCCATACAGAGATGGCTTTCCTAGCCCTTCTGCCCCCCCGGTGCTCCCGGCTGGCCTTGCAATGCCCCAACAGCCCCTCGCTGGCTTGCTGATCATTCCCATATCTCTGTCAATGCAGGAGTCACATGTGCCCAGCCGGCACAGCCAGGTTTGGTGAGCCTGAGAGGGGGTAGTGAAGGATTGAGAAAAGACAAGAGAGGAAAGCTGGGTCTGGATGGGACTCTGCCCTCTCGGATGGAGAGAGCGCCACGGGCTACAAGCCAAGCCTTTATTTTATAGCGTTTCCACGAGGCAAAGGAAGGGCGTGGTCAAGATGTTTACAACATTCTTGTCGGTTTCGAACCTACTCAATCACATGCACCTGAACTCTATCAAACCCTCATCACTTTAGCCACGTGGGGATACAGGTTCGGACCATAAGGCCAAGCTCACAGCCAGAGCCTTTGGTCATAATGGTGCTGGGAGGGCTTTGCCCCCCAGGCTGGGACTTGCACGTGGCGTTGCCTCTGATTAGCCCGAGGCTTGAACCTGTCCAAACGCTGTGCCGCTCTCCACAGTCACGGTCGTTTGGGGACTTTAAAAACAACTGCACAAGCTGAAACCTTGCAGGACAAACTTAATAATCAACGGGGAGCCGAAACTGGTTTGGCTCAGTGGATATGTCAGCCTGTGGACTGAAGGGTCCCTGGTTGGATTCCGGTCAAGGGCATGTATCCTGCGGGCACATTCCCAGTAGGGGCCGTGCAAGAGGCAGCTGATTGATGACTCTCATGGATGTTTCTAATTATCTCCCTCTCTGTAAAAAATCAATAAAATATATTTTAAAATAGCAGGGAAAGTTCGTTACATATGTACGTAGGTGGGTTCCCTACGAACATGGGCTCTAGGACAAATGGGGCAGTGGAGGCTTGTATATGAAATGCTGGACTAAGGAGAGGCGGGCCAGGGTCTGGGCTTCGGAGGGAAGGCAGGCAGTTCACAACTTGAGCCTATCCTGGGTAGATGAGTGAGAGCAAGCATCTGGTAAACAAAGTGGTCCCAGAGGGGAGCCCTGCTAGATTCTTCCCCATCTGCTACCTCAGGTCATATTTGGATGCTACCCTCTCTTTAAGCAGGTTTTTCTAAATGAATTCCTTTAAGCATGGGGAGCGTCTTAACATTTTGCTAGCATCCTCTCAACCCACTTACTGTTAGTACACAATGGCGCAAAACATCACAGGCCTAGTGTATATTTTTATAAACATGGATTTTTCTTTTGTAATTGGTTCATACATCATACAATGAAGCAGAGTTCTGCACCAATAACTCACGTTTTCACTTTTAGAGCTGTAACTGTTGAGCAACATTGATCAGATAAGTTGGTGAGACTAAAGAGACTAAAGGTCTTACTACCTGGCCTCCCCAGGCACAGGCCAAAGGGCTCTCTGTTGGAATCCTTGCAAAAGAATGTTCACCCAGTCTTTGCTTCTTCGACACTACACCAATATTTCACATTGTTGCGAAGGCAACACACCAAGGCAAAGAGGGAAAGGCTGATTGTGAAAGAGGCCTCCACCTAGTACAGCAACACAGAAGCTGACGATCTAGAAACTGATTATTTGTCATGGTTCATATACCCCCTGGAAAATGCTCCTAATTTTGTACCTCTGGGCCAGGGCTGGGACTAGTGAAGTGAGTGATGCACCCACCTGGGGTACAAAATAGAAGGAACACACACACAAAACAAAAACAAAAAACACCTTCAGTAATCATAATACATAATGCTTGAATGAGATGTTTTTTAAAATAAAAATTAATGCAAAAGCCGAAACCGGTTTGGCTCAGTGGATATAGCATCAGCCTGCGGACTGAAGAGTCCCGGGTTCGATTCTGGTCAAGGGCATGTACCTTGGTTGCGGGCACATCCCCAGTAGGGGGCGAACAAGAGGCAGCTAATCGATGACTGTCTCTCATGGATGTTTCTCTCTCTCTCCCTTCCTCTCTGTAAAAAATCAATAAAATGTATTTTTTTAAAAAATTAATGCAAAAAAAAAATCCGTGATGAACAAAACATCGAAATTTAAAATAAAAATCCCAGGACAGGTGCACTCCAGCTCCAAGTCCACAGGTGTCCCAAATGTAAGAGCTGGCGGCTGATCCAAGATGGGTAACCATTCTCTTGCCCATACTGCCACCTGCTGCCGGAAGTGAGTAATTCTCGCTGTCTGGCCAACTCAGTGTCCCAGGGCCGCTTCCCCGGGCACTCTGGCCAGCAGCCACCCACTTCAGGAATCTTGGCAACCTCTGGCCACCTACTTCCTGCTAGACGGCCGAGTGGACTAGAAAGAGCCCCAAGCTCCGCTTTAAGACCTAGACCAGGGTGTCAGCGTTGCCTCTTGCTGGGCCTTGAACAAGTCCCATCACCTTTCTGAGCCCGAGATTCTTGCACCTACAATGGACCTCATTACCTGTTCCCATAATAGAGCAATCACGTGAGACTCTTTCTGTGATGATGCCAAGTCAGAAGTATGCTGCCTGAGCCAGCCCCCCCACGACCATGGATCGAATCAAACTGTCACCAATTTATTACCGAAGGCGAGACTCTCCAAAAGACAGCCACGCCGAACACGGTGCTAGAGAGGTCCAGAGCGTGGCCAGTGCCATGGCCAGCGGGCTGAGGAAGGCTTCCTGTAGGGGGTGTCATTCGAGCTGAGCCTACGGGACCGGAAGGGCCAGGTCAGGCCAAGAGCTGGCCAATAGCCTCTAGGGATCGCCAGGCCACCTCTGTTTTATCTCGGGAAAATTCCAGCACAGGAAGCAAGCATTGGAGTGATGGTAGGAAGGCCAAGGCCCTGGAAATCAGCCCTGGGTTCAATCCTGGCTCAGCTGCGTATGAGCTGTGTGACCAAAGGAAATCACTTAACTTCTCTGAGCCTCAACTTCCTTCTCCAAGGGACGGGGGTAATGAGACAGCTGTTCCTGGCGGGTAAGATTGATTAAGATAACTTACATCTCCTGCAATATGGTGGCTCAATGAGTGGCAGCTGCTTTTGTTAACAGGGGGAACTTCCGTGCGGAGTGGGAAGAACAGGGACACACCAGTGCAGGCAACCCTGGCAATTGTCATATTTGGCTTCTGGGACACCCCCCCCCCACACACACACACACACCACACACACACACACACACACACACACACACTATGTGTTGGGCAAGGAGGGGGTTGCTGATCCCACTGTGGGCAGCCTCTGCTCCCGCCCACCCCCACCCCCACCCCCAGCAGGACTCAGCATATAAGTGCACCCCAGAAAGGGAGCGTGTGGGGGTCTCCCGCCCTGAGGCTGGGGAGAGGATGCTGGGATCCAGCCCCGGAAGCGGAGTTTAGAGAGAGGCCTGGCGATCAGAAGGCTGGCTGCGGCTTAGATGACACCATTGGAGCCATCCGCACTCATTCCCCACCTTGACCACAGACGCAGGGCCATGGCCTTGGCTTTCGGGAAACACACTCAAGTATTTGGGAGCCGGGAGCTTCACACCTGCAATGTACCGCCCAATGGTTCAGAAACATGGAAAAGGGCAAAGCAGATAAGGGGGAATGTTCATGTCTGGAGAATGAATGGAAGGGCACACGGGAATTGTTGCAACTTTTCTGAATGTAGGAAATGATATGAAAAATAAAAGTTTGTTTTGCTTTTGTTTTTGAGGCAGCAGCCAGCCATCAGGGCTCTCTTCCTCCTCCCTCCGGAATCCACTCGCGGAGTGAAACGCGGTGTGCAGCCGCCTTCACCTCCCCCCTTCCCCCTTCCCCCCTCCCCAGCACCCCGCACCCCGCACCCTGCACCCCGCACCCCGCACCCCATCCCCGCATCCCGTCCCCGCACCCAGCACCCCGCCCGGACGCAGCCACTCTGCAAAAGCTGCACCGACTTTATTTGCAAAAGGAGGCTCCAAGCACTGCAGGGCGTCTGCGAGCAGGATGGGAGGCTGGAGGCCCCGGCCCCTGTGCCCCCTCCCGGCCCCGGCCCCGGCTACACGATGGCGAACTGGCAGATGTAGGGCAGCCTGTCGCGGCAGCGCTTGTCGAACCACTTGCCGGAGGCGGCGCCGGCCAGCGCGGCGCAGTTCTCCGCCTTGCCGCCGTCCGGCTGCGCCGTGATCTCCGCCTCCCAGTTCTTGTAGGCGATGTGGCCGCCCGTCATGTCCACCCAGTCGCCCTCGGCGGCCATGTCGTTGAGGCCCAGCCAGATCTCGGCCTCGGCGCCCACGCTCTGCCGCAGGTACTCGAACATGGCCTCGTTCTCCGCGCCCGAGTGCGGGGTGCCCAGCGTGCCCCCGCGCGAGATGCAGTCCTCGCTCGCCTCGTGGAAGGTCTTGGCCTGGGCGAAGGCCAGGAAGCACTTCATGTGCACCTTGGTGCCCTTCAGGCAGACTGGGAGGGGAGAGGGCGTCACCGGGGTGCCCGGCCGAGCCCAGGCGCCTCTGACCGTCCCCGCTCACGCTCTGTCGCTGGGCCCTAGTGTGACCCCCGGATTCGGGCAGAAAACTAGCCCAAGACAAAGCTGAGCACAGCGCTGGGCTTGCAATCAGCCCTTTGCTCCTGCGCGCCCTCTGCTGGCAGCCCCTCGTATCTCCCTCCTCCTCCTCCTCCTCCTCCTCCTCCTCCTCCTCCTCCTCCTCCTCCAATCAGCCCTTTGCTCCTGCGCGCCCTCTGCTGGCAGCCCCTCCTCCTCCTCCTCCTCCTCCTCCTCCTCCTCCTCCTCCTCCTCCTCCTCCTCCTCCTCCTCCTCCTCCTCCTCTTCCTCCTCCTCCTCCTCCTCCTTCTTTAAGGTCCCAGGTTCGATTCCGGTCAAGGGCATGTGCATTGGTTGCGGGCACATCCTTGGTGGGGGTGTGCAGGAGACAGCTGGTCAATGTTTCTCTCTCATTGATGTTTCTAGCTCTCTATCCCTCTCCCTTCCTCTCTGTGAAAAATCAATAAAATATATATTTTTGTTTTTTAAAAATGGAGGCGGGGTTATAACAATAGGCCCACTGCATGGGTTTCCTGAGAAGAATGAGTCCATGGTCAGGCCGGTGTGGCTCAATGGTTGAGCGTTGACCTATGAACCGGGGGGTCACTGGTTCAATTCCCGGTCAGGGCGCATGCCCGGGTTGCAGGCTCCATCTCCAGTGTGGGGCATGTAGGAGGCAGCCAATCAATGATTCTGATCATTGATGTTTCTTTCTCTTCCCTCTCTCCCTTCCTCTCTGAAATCAATAAAAACATTAAAAAAAAAAAAAAAAAAAAAAAAAAAAAAGAGTGCCAGCTTCAGCAAAGCTGCTGGCACACAGGGGGTGAAGCCGATGCCCCTGTTGCTGCAGAGCCTGGCTGAGTGAGGGTCTCCCGGGAACAGTTAGGGTGGTGCCACCTGTGCTCCGGGGGTGCCGCTCCCCGTGGGCGATGGATGCTGTGGGAGAGCCTTTGTCCTTTGGGACATTCCCACTCCCACACACCAGGGGGCCCCCGAGTCCGGATGCCAGGCCTATGGGCCTGGCCCAGTGGAGCCCGTGGGGTGCTGGCCAGAGGCCTCGGGCACTGCTGCCTGCCTGCCCGCCCGAGCCCTTCTCTCCGGCTCGCTGCTGCCCAGAAAGGCCACCGCACTCACCCGTCTGCAGGGCCTGCTGCTCCTTCAGCAGCGCCACCTCCTGCGCCAGGCTCTCCAGCTGGCTCTTGAGCTCCTCAAGCATCTTCGGGCTCACAACGTCTAGGATGGAGGCAGGAGGGCGTGGAGATGGTGGTGAACACGGGAGGAAGGCAGGGGCGAGGGAGGGGGAGACCCCGTCGACGTATGCTTTGTCTCTCTGTCTGCTGGTGACAGGGTAAGTATTCGCTGAGGAGTCGCCTCTGCCAGGGGGACCTGCCACTTGCTCTTGCTGAGGTGAGACCTGTGGGGCATTTGCTCAGGGACATCGCCGGGGTTCCTGAGGTGTTGGGATTGTCAGGGGCGGGGCTGGGGTGCAGGCAGAGTCTTCCGTGGCCACCAACCATCTGGCCACCCTTCCAGCTCTGAGGAGAACGGAGCACAGGAAGCAGGGCCGGGGCCCTTGAGACCTCCCAGGGTCCCCTCTCAGGCAAGAGGAATAAGACAGATCCAGCCCGGGACCGAGCGTGGGGGCACAGGTAAGGGTGCGCGTGGCCTCGGAGGTCACACGGATGCCCGTGACCTGGAGCATGAATTCAGTGCTCGGCCTCTCTGAATTCGGTTTCCTCACCCGTAAAGTGGGAAGCAGCAGGCCCACCTGAGAGGACTCCGCAGAAAACTGGAGACTACGAGAAATAAAGCTGCGAACAGCGCTGGGCTTGCCATCAGCCCTGGGAGCTGCAAAGTTTCTACACGGCAGCTTCCCCAACGGCACACTGAGACCACGCTGAAGCAGCTCGCCCAAGATCGCAGGGCCAGCAGCTGGCAGGGTGGCCTGAACCCAGGCCACAGGGCTCCGAGCTTGGCCTTGCCCGCCTCTGACAGCACAGACTCCTAACGTGAGCTGAGGCCCTGCAGGGAGCCGGTGAGCGAGAGGGCTTCCTGTGGGCGGCCCCGTCTTCCCGAAACCCCGGGGACTTTAAGAAAGCTGCGCTCAGTTTGGGGGAGGGGAGAAGGGGGGGAAAGGGCTTCCATGGTCCATTTGGCTGGGCCTGCATGAAGTCCACAGCCATGAGGCCTCTGGTCCACAGGTCAGAGCCTCTGTCCATCCACAGGCTGTCTTGGCAGGGGAATGGCAGGAAACAAATGCAAGCAGAACCACACTTGTGTGCACAGAAATTCGTGTTGCAACTTATCAGACATGAGGAAAATGACACCCAGATGAGCAAGGCCAAAAAGGGCGGGTTTGGGGCTGGGAGAGGAGCCTGGCGGGTTGTGTGTGCCTCACCCGGGCCTCTGCCTCGGCCAGTCCTCAGCAGCTCTGTCCCCGTCACATGGCGCCCAGCACAGGGTGCCGCGTGAGGTGGCACAAGTTGGGCACTTCACAAGGGCACTCAGCTAAGGCGCACCCAGGGGCTGAGTCCAGGCCTAAGCCTTGCCTTTGGCTGTGCTGAGTCAGACCGCAGATGGGGTGGGTGCCTTTCTATAATGTGTGTGTGCGAGGCACCCTCCAGGGACTGGCCACGCAGGAGGTGCTAACATGCTCCGCCCGAGGAAGGTGTGGGAGGCGGGGGTCCCTACAGCTCGCCCCAACGCTGTCTCTGAGGCTGATTCCTGATGTGCGGTTGCAGTGGATGTCCTCCAGCTTCTGCGCCGAGGACCTGTGACCCCTGTGAGGCCACCCTGCGCCCTGAGCTCCTGGCCCAGACGTGGCCACGTGGCCCCTGGCGTTCCCGCTGCCTGCGCCTCCCTGCCAGCCTCGCCTCTGATCCCCAGAGGCGATCACTGTTACTAACCCCCATAAAGGCTTCCAGAAAAAACCTACACATGCACCATGAAATAGGATTGTTCCTGTAAACCACCTTTTCAAAACAAGGCCAGCACACTATCCCTTCCGTTTTGAACTTTTCTTTGCTCGCTTTGTAAACAGAATCTTGGAATTATTTTCCATCGGCTCGGCCTGTTCTTTGTCACCCCCTGTGGGTTTCTCTTATCCTGATGTACCTTTTACGTACACACTCCACTGTCCACGGCCATTGGCCACTGTCCACGGCCACAGGTGGCTCCGAGGGGCTCTGAAGGCGCCCACGCGCCCCTCCCTGCGCTCCCGTGTTTCTGCGCCTGGAACTCGCCCCGCCTGGGCCCCGTGGGGGCGACGGCCCATCCATCGCCATGGCGCTGCACTGGTGTTGTCTCAACACAGCTCGGGCTGACCTCACTGCGGGCAAGGCTCCCAGGGCAGGCCCTGCCGCAGCCAAGGTGACCCAAGGACACCCCAGACCCCAGGGGCCACAGAGGGAGAAAAAGCAGCTTCCGGTGGCCTAGTTTGAGTTTCAAGGCTGGGATACACTGTGGACCCAAGAATTAATTATTCCTGCCCGCCTCTGCATCAAGTATACCCTGTGTGCCAGGCACTTCGTAAGTTCTGTATCATCAGATCCTCATGTCGACCCTCGGGGCAGAGGCCAGGACCCCCACTTCACAGCTGAGAAACCCGAGGTGCGGAGCTGGCAAAGCAGAGCCATCGGCTCTCTCCGGCGAGGGCTGAGCATCTCACCGGAGAGTTTGATTTCTTTAAAACCGAGGGGGAGAGGAGTGGACGCCAGTTCTGATGATCTAGAAGGTTCTTTCAGACTGTGAGAGTCAGTTCTTTCTGGCAGCCGCCCCTGCTGCGGGGAACACTCTCCGGCCCCAGGGGGGCTTTCCCCATGCTCTCCGGACTCACCCAGAAGGAAAAGGAGCCCCGGGACCCAGCAAAGGAGGAAAATGAGCCCCGAGACCAGCTCCCTGGAAGATGGGGAGGCGCCCTGTCCCCTCCTTACCTTTCTTGGCATTCTTGACCTTGGGGGACGGCGGCTCGGCGCTGACCTGGGTCAGGAGGGAGGAGAGGCAGAGGAGCAGGTAGGCCCCCCAGAGCTCCATGCTGCCGCCTGCAGAGTGCCCGGCCGGAGAGCAGTGGCGCTGGGACGGGCTGCAGGGCTCCAGCAGCTGCTGCGGGACCTCTGTCCAGGAAACCTCCCAGACTTGGCGGCCGGCGTGCCAGCAAAACAAAACACAACGCCTCAGAGGGGAGGCTGGGAGCTCAGAGCCTCCTCCCAGGGACCAGCCCCAGCCCTGGCCCTGCCTTCTGAAATATCTTCTAGGATCTGAAACACACATAGTGTTAATGCTCACACCCAGGGCAGGCGTGGCGGCACCTCCTTCCCTGGAATTAGCTCGGAGAGGCTTCCCAACAGCGACATGGAAGTCCTGTCATCTCCCCATTTTACAGTTGCAGAAACTGAGGCTCAGTGAGATCAAAGGACGCTGTGGGCAGCACCAGTATTTAAACTGAGCTGGGCGGTTCCGGGGCAGGGACGCTGCGTTAGGGATGTTCGTTAGGAAGATGTGCTTAAGGAAGAGGGGAACGCCGGTATGACAGAACCGGCTTGGATTTGGGGCCAAGGGCTAAAGTCAGCAGCCGCCTGCAATGGATCCACCAACAACCCCGGAGAGAGTGTGGATCTCATCCTCCCTGTGTGGATGGTCGCTGGGCTGGCACCAGCCCCCAGGCCTCTGCCAGCCGAGGGGCAGCAAGCAGCAGTCCTTCAGCCAGAAGATGACCTGGGGCTAACGCTCCTGAGTAAACCCATCCTCCAGGAAATGTCCCTGCACTAACGCATGTCCCCAAGCCCCGCCTTTTTTATACCCATTCCCCACTCCCACACACACACACACACACACACACACACAATCACCTTCCTAACAAAGCCCAGAGGCAGAGAAATCAGGAGAGAGCTCTAAAAGGCCCATTTTAGCTGTCAAGTTCCTGCGGTTTTTTCCCTCCAAACTGTTGGAAATCTGAGTTATAGACAACACCCTCTGGCCACCCACCCACATCAGCCCAGCAGGAAAACTTCTGGCCCAACATCGCCCCCGCCCCACCCCACCCTACCCCGCTCCCACCCCCGCCCGCACAGATGTTTCCTCTCAGCCCCCCTGGCCCAAGTCAGAGCCAGGGCCGCCCGCCCGGGAGGCCCAGAGCTTCCCACGCTCTCCTCACAGGTGAGTGTCCAGGGTGCGAATCTCCGAGAGCAATGCAAGGGCGGTCGCAGCCTGAGCCAAAACCACAGACAGGGCCTGCAGCTCTGGCCTCAGGACCCTGCAGAGGGAAGTCCTGTTCCAGGCCTCGCTGGCCTGGTGGTCAGCCCTTCATTCAACAAGGGCTGCCTCCGCTCTGCCCCTGGCCTTGCGATGAGGTCTCCCGGCGAGGCTGTGCCTCTGGCGGTCACTTCACTGCTGCTCAGGCCCATCGCCCTGCTGCCCGCCTCCGGCCCTGGGGTGGGACATTCCCCTCCTCCCGGGCAGCCAGGTCCGGAGGAGGCTCCGGTTAGTGTCTCCTGAAGGGACCTTGTTAAAAACAACGGTGCTCTGATGTGTTTCAAAACGGCCCTCTGATCCTCCTCCTGCACGAGGGGAGTATTTTTCTAAACGTCACTGTGGGAGCCAGGCTGAGCTCCTGGAGGTACACACTCAGAAGTGTGGGGCCCGAGCCTCCGGCAGCTCACAGGGGCTCAAGCTTCCCTTCCTGGCTCTGGCCCCAGAGCTTTCGGCCCAGTAAGTGGGAGTCTCTGATTCGCCGGTTGGTCTCTCCCATTTGGGGAGCAGAGGTCTGCCCTGGGAGCTCACTTCTCTCACAGATTGAAGAGGGCTGTTGCCTTTTCTGTGGCTCCACGTGACTGCCAGGTCCAGCGGTCAGGGGGCTGCCAGCAGCGAATTGGGAACTCCACACCTCTTTGTGGGGACACGGACCCCCTTTCCAGACATGGCGCTGGCCCAACACCCCCAGAACCCGCTCCCCCTCTAATCCCCTGGCACAGGCCAAGCCAGGTTTTGCCATTATTTTGATGAGTAACCAGTTCTTCCCACAGCAGGAACCGTATCTCCTGGAGGCCAGGAGGGGAGCGGAGGGGGGCAGAGGTTAACAAGCGTCATCTCGCGAGGCCTCTGACTCAGTCTGGCCTTGGCAAGGCAAGTGGCACCATTTCTTTCAGGAAATGCTGCTCCCCTTCAGCTGGGGTCAGGGAGCTGCAAGGGCCAGACATTTCTAATGAACGCCTGGCCTGGAGAGACCCTGCCTGTGGCGGCTTTGTTGTATTTGCAATGTACACTGCTGACCGCTGTCACGTAAGTAAACAACAATTAGGAAGAAATAACACAAGAATACACGTTCTCACACTCATGCTGTAAACCTCCTTTTGCCCACCTGGCATTTCTCTCCTTCCTTCATCCTCACTAACTGCTCGGCCGGGCGGGGCAGTGGGAAGCGGCTATCCAAGTGGCCGGCAAAGCCTCACCGTCTGTCTCATCTGCCTGACGCCTTTAACACCAGGACCAAAGGCTTCTACACTCGACCCGATCCTAACTGGCCCCCGAGCGCTGCCACGCTCTGTCACAGCCCCCCGGGAGCAGGGAGGAGGGACAATCCCGGGGAAAACGCTAAAAAATCATGACGCCCAGGCTGCGTTCTCAACAGGGCGCGGCTCCAAGTCCCAGCGCGGGCAGCTGCTTCCCTCTGCAGGGACAGGCCTGCAGAGGAGGTGACCATGCCAGGCGCCCGGAGCAGCCTGCATGGCTCCCACGTGCTCTTCCCGTTGGGCAATCCGTGCCTTGCTCCTTACCCTACTTGTCTAACGGAAACGCAGAACTTTAGTATAAGAATCACACGGCTGAAATTCCCTTCATGAAGCAGCGCCTTTGACTGGGAGGATCTGACCCCCGGGAGAGAAGCAGACTGCTCAGCCCAAGAACAGACTTGATTCCAACACGCGGGAGGCACTCGGAGCGCAGCCCGGCTCCCGGGAGCCTGCTGGGGCTGTGGAGAACGGCCCTCCCGCCCCCGAGTACGAAGGCAGGCTGAGTAATCAAATGACAGCATCTCTAAAGCAGCCTTCTTGATGCTGACATAACAAGAAAATCTTACAAAACACCAGGGAGTGGTTATAAAACATTAAGCAATTTCACAACGAGGCTGATAAGAAAGGTTGGCTAAGGACCAAAGTGGCCACCGAGACCCTCGCTCTGGGGGGAAGGGGAACAGGAAGCAAGAACTGGGCTTCCCCAGGCCCCAGGAGGCTCACCAGCCAGGCGGAAGCCGTGGGCGGACACCTGGGCAGAGTGCCCAGCTCTTCTCCCTGGGAGCTCCACATGCACAAGGCAAATGAACCTTTTTGTGTGATCCTTTTTTCATATATATTATTTAATTTTATTTTTAAATATATTGTATTGATTTTTTTTACAAAGAGGAAGGGAGAGGAATAGAGTCAGAAATATCGATCAGCTCCCTCCTGCACACCCCTCATTGGGGATGTTCCCGCAACCAAGGTACATGCCCTTGAGCGGAATCGAACCTGGGACCCTTCAGTACGCAGGCCGATGCTCTATCCACTGAGCCAAACGGGTTAGGGCTTGTGTGATTCTTATACTAAAGGCTCTCCAAGGGGGAACAATTTTCACAAAATACGCACCATAAGCATTTGCTTTCGGCCATTTTTCTCAGGGCCCTCATTCCAGGGTGTCCGTCGCTGTGAGCTCCTGCAGCCAGAGACGAATGAGCCCGTTCGTAAGGCCAGGACCAGACTCCCTTCCTGGGAGCACTTCTTGGGACCTGAGGAGACGATGCCAGACTCTTGCAGGCATCACCAAAAGGCATCTGAGCGCTAAAGAACCCAGCCAGACCAAACCAGACCAGAAAATAGACTTTAATTTTACACGTACAAACGTCGCTTTAAATTCGTAACAGTTAAGAAAAGTATTTACAAACTTCGGCTTAAACAAAAAGTAAAAAGCAGCACCGGAGTTGGGGGCTGATGCGCAGCTCACCCCAGGAATCCGACCTTCTGTCTCTTGGGCCCCAGGCTCTCCTCCTTGTGCAGGATGCTGTGCAGCGAGGCGTGCAGCACCTTGCCCACGCGCTTGCTGGTCTGCAGGGCGAGGAGGGAAGAGAGCACGCGTGAGGCAGGCACGCTGACCCGGGGAAGCCCCCGCTTGCCTGCTGGGAAGCAATGATCTATGGACACGTGTTGCGATGTGGCTGCTTAGACAAGAACCACCTGCTCTGGCTAACTGCCTTCCTGGCGGGTCAAATTCAAGTCCTCAAAGACTTGTACAAAGTCAAGGTGGACTGGGAGGGTGAGCAGGGCCAGGGTCCTGTGGCTCTGGGCCAGTGGGGAGACAGACGCGTCAACCAATGAGCACAGAGCAGCTGGGAAGAGCTGTAATGGCGCTGCAGAGGGTGGAGGAGACCGAGGGAGCAATCCACCCTGCAGCTGCCAGGACTTCCCACTCCCACTCAGCTCCCTGGGACACTTCTAAACCAGGAAGGAAGGGCAGGCGGCCACCCTCAGCCCCTGGCTCCACCTTTGCTGACTCCAACTCCCTCGTCAAATCACAAATCTTGGGATTTTTGAGTCGTAAGTTCACATTGTCAGTTCAACACTCTCCTTTAGAAAGTGAACTTGGGACCAGAGAGGGGAAGACAGGCAACTGTTACTAGCAGGTTCCTTACCCCACCATCCCACCCCATCATCCTTGGCTAAGTCAGCAGACATCCAGCTCGCACCAGTTGGTCCTCGAAGCTCCAAGTGTGGGTCAAGGGTGTAAACGGAAGAATCGACGGGGTTACTGAAGTGGCAGGAAGCGGCAGGCACTCCCAGCCGGGCCCGGCGCCTGCCTCAGAACCAGAACCTCACCTCCATCATCTCGAAGATGCTCTCTGGGTCCAGGCTGCCCTTCCCCACTTTCCTCATACACGTCACGACTCCCTGGCTGGTCACGGACACCAGCACGCTGGCCAGGCAGCAGGCCTCCTCCTGAAGAGTAGCGTCCACCACGTGCCGACAGCCAATCTGCGGGCAGGCAGCAGAGCACACGTGGGTGACACAGACCGATCCCCGCCGGCCGTTCCTGGAAGGTACACCTAGAGCAGCAAAGAGCCTGCACTGCCCATTCAGGATTGAGATTTCTAGATTCTGATCACATGGAAAATATTTGAAACAATGTTCAACCAATGTATTGCCGGCCACGGTGCGAGCTGTGTAGCAGAAGCATGAAATGGAAATGTGGGGGTGGGGGTGGGGTGGGGGGGTAGGGAGGCAAGGACAGAACTATAATTCAGTGACCATCCAAGTCATAGGCCACCAAGTGTTTCTGATAGCGGGCACAGGGAGAAATTCACGTGGGAGGCCATGTGGATGTTTCACTGGTGACAAAGAAGAGAGCGAGAGAGGACATGCTGAGGGACACGCTCAGGGATGAGTCAGGCCCTTGCCAGTTTGGCTCCGTGAATAGAGGGTTGGCCTGTGGACTGAAGGGTCCCGGATTCGACTCTGGTCAAGGACACACGCCTGGGCTGCAGGGAGCAGTTAATCAATGATTCTCTCATCACTGATGTTTCTCTCTCTCTCTCTCTCTCTCTCTCTGACTCTCTCTGTCTCTCCCCCTCCCTCTGAAATCACTAAAAATATATTAAAAAATAAATAAAAACATATTTAAAAAATGTGTCTGATGCAGGTGGCTTGGGTCAATCCCAACACTTTACCACACTCCAGGTTTATGAAGTGATTTTCATAGAATTAAACCCGACCCAGTTGGTCTTATTTTGAAACGATGAATCCTGCGTGGAACCAGGGACAGTCTCAGCCAATATGGGCCTCTGTGCACATCAGCATCGGCCAGGTGTTGGCTCCACAGGCCTCTGTGCTCATGTAGAAACCACACCGGGAGCTGCTGCAAACCCTCGTTTGGCAGGTGTGGACAGTATTTGCCTTTCAACCACCTATTACTGTCAACCAGCCCGGACCCCACAGAGTTGAGAAAATGAAAGGCAATAGGCCTAAGGGTGTCCAGGTGAAATGCCTGGTATAGTAGGAGCTTAACAAACCGGCTGCTCTCACTCTGAACCCACTCTGTGCTCCCAGCACTCCACCACCTCTTCTCGTTAAGAAGAAAGACTGCTCACAGCAGTGGCTCTGCTATAACCAGCTACTGGATTCGGGTCAAAGCTACCTGTATACAGTTTGTGAAACTATAACTTTTCAGCTCATTAGGTAACCTTAACGGGTGGGGCTGGGAAGACCCTCAGGGAAGCTCATACTTTGCACAGGGTGACGATGCAGGGGACGTTCTCCACACTCAGCCGGATGCAGTCATAAGGGTCGTCAGACAGTTCAATGTCCTTCGACCCCTCTTCATCCTCCAGGACACGAACTCTTGGTATCCTGGAAGCAGAAGCACAATAAAGACCCCCACTTCTTGAAGGAGCATTTCTTTTTCTTGAGATTGAGCACAGGAGCTGGAATCAGGCATCTCACAGGACAGGGTCATGCTAGGCCTGTACTCCCCATCGTTCCTGTCAAAAGCACACAGGCGACTCGGCAGTGCAGAGAGAAAGGAGGTCTTTTTAAAAAATAATGTTTGACCAATCCCATGCCCAGAACGAATTGTGATCCCTACCTCACACCAAATAACTGCAGATGGAAAGGTGAAAGAGAAAACAATAATGCTTTCAGAAGAAAATCTACGAACATTTTAATGACCTTGGAGTGGACAAAGACCTCATAAACAGAACACAAAGTGCCTATCATAAAGGGAAAATAGGATAGATTCAACTATGTTATAATTAAAACACACACATTTGTTCATCAAAAGACATCATTTAAAAACTAAAAGATAATGCAGTTGCAAATGTGCACATGTGCATGAGTAAACTGACATATTACATAACGAATTCCTACTAAATACGAGACAGACAACCCAATTGAAAAATGGATAAAATACTTGACCAGAGACTTCATAAAAGAGGCTGCCAGTTTAAAGTTTTATATGTTAAAAAATAAACCTAAGTGCGTGGGCCACGTGGTTCAGTAGAAGGGCTAAAGAATACATCAGGGACTGGCCTCTGGCCTTCTGAAGGCCCAGACTGTACGAAAGGTCTCTCCACATGCCAGGGGGTCCAGTGCTTGTAGGGTCCCCATTCCTTGCTGCCTGCAGGGCTGTTCTTGTTCTGAGGATGAGACCGTGGCTATGCCCACGACGGGTGTCCTCCCAAGCTGGGTTTATCATCATCCTGCTCACAGTTTGCCTGACACCTCCCCCCCTCGCCCAACAGCCGCGGCTGCTTTGACTCTCTTTTTGCCCTGGTGCCCATGGAAACCAGCTGGCTGATGGGGAGTCATTTTTTAGGCTTGAGGTGCAACAGATGGCAACTTCCTTTCTTCTCCAGTGGAGCCAAGCCCAGGCTGCTGCTGCTGGCAGCTGGTACTCGAGCCCCACCGTGGCCACCAGTGCCAGACCCTCGACGGTCTCAGCTCTGCATGAGGACCCCACAATTTCTGACCTAAATTTGTTTTGGTTTTCTTTTAGATGATGCAGGTGGTCTAAATTCATCAAAGAAAAACTCGAAAACAGAGATATATGTTATATCACCCATAATATGAAAACTGTCACAATGACAATTTTGGGACATACAGGTATTTCCAGACATACTAAATGTAAGAATTAGCACAAGTAAAATAAGACAAAGCAAAAACAGGATGGCAGGACTGTGGTTAGTGGCTGCTTTTCCACAGTAACAAACCTGGATATAGGTTTCTGTGCCGATTTTAATGCCCACGTTGAGACATTAGGTTGTTTTCAATTTCTCACCACTACAAAGCTGCAATAAGCATTTCTCAGATAACATCTTTGCTCACTTAACCAATCACTTCCATAGGCTATTTCCCTAGAAGCTTCCAATCCTCATTCCCTAATACCCAGAATCTCATTCCCACAATGTAAGCTCTCTGTGGGATGAACACCTCACCCACGTGTCTGTTTTCAAATGCTGCAAATTTTCCTCAAAGAACCCGGTGCACAGAGTGGGAGAAAGGCAGTGTAACCAAACAGCCCATGGGAATGTCAACTCCAAAAAAGCTTAGTGCCTCGTCCCTTGCTAGGCACGCAGTCTATCGGGGAAGCTGAACGTGCTTTTAACGAAACCCCAAAAAAACAGGTTGCTACCCCGGTTTTAGAACATGCGTGTGTCCAGGGAAGGGCTCCGTGAGCACCTGCTGGGTCAGGCCCTGTTCACGGTGCTGGGGGGGACAGCAGACCAAACGCACAAGCTGCCCACGTGGAGCTCTGTCCAATAACAGTATTTGGCCAGCTGACGTGGGGTTGGTTTCTTTCTTTTTTAAAAATATGTTCTTATTTATTTGAGAAAGGAAGAGAGGAGAGACAGAAACATCAATGATTGGCTGCCTCCTGCACGCCTCCTCTGGGCAGGGGCGAGCCTGTAATCCAGGCATCTGCCTTGACTGGAAATCGAACCGGCTTCCTCTTGGTTCGTGGGTCAATGTTTAACCACTGAGCAACACCAGTTGGGCCAGTAGTTGGTTTTAACTTTTTTTTTTTTTTTTTTTTTACTTCTCTGTAGTTTCCTAATATTTTTCTACATGGTACATGTTTACTTGTGAAAATAACAGAAACAGATGCACAGATCTCGTTTTAATTGATGGAATCTGTTTTCTGGAGCTTGACATTCAATATCATTGCTAATGCTAACACCCCTGTTATCTTCATCTCTGAAGAGCTGCAGGAGAACTTTCCTGTGTCCGCCTGGGTTTTCCACCAGCCTCGGGCATGTTCCCCGGAAGACTCACCTCGTATTGAACAGAGCAGCCTTTACAGCGATGGAGATGGCATCAAACAGATTCCCACCACATTCCAGCAACTAGGGGAGACGGGGGGGGGGGGGGGGGAGAGAAGGGGGGAAGCCGGGAAGAAAAGCAAGTGTCACGTCTTACTTAAGTATTATCCCAAGGAAAGGATACTGGCTCCTAGATGGTGACCACTGATGCCCCAAAGAGCTCCCGATTGCACCACACACGCTACTCTCATCGTTGCTAACGTATGTTGGCTTCCAAACAGGTTAAAAATGACCACTGATGCTTCTCCTACTACCAGGTTCCCAATCATTAGTGTAGTTACCTACTGCCTGTCATTATCAACACACATCTGATGCTCAAATAGGTAACACTTCATGCTGCAAATGAAACATAATAAAAGCAGAGGTCCCTCATACCATTTTTTGCCCACGAGCCAAAGTGCTGATTGCACTTACGTAAGCTCATGCAGCAGGGAAGCTTACAGCACATGCTTTTATTTATTTTTAATATATATATATTTTTTATTGATTTTAGAGAGGAAGGGAGAAGGAGAGAGATGGAAACATCAATGATGAGAGAGAACCACTGATTGGCTGCCTTCTGTGCGCCCCCTACTGAGGATCAAGCCTGCAACCCCACATGTCGAAAATAACAGAAACAGATGCACAGATTCGGGCATGTGCCCTTGAGCAGAATTGAACCTGGTACCTTGCAGTCCGTAGGCCAACGCTCTATGCACTGAGCCAAACCAGCTAGGGCTAGAGCACATTCTTAAGTGGAAGGCGAGACACCTTCTGTCCTTTAAAAGAAGCCTTGGCCTGAGTTTATGGAATAAACTGGGCTACAGCAAGGAAGAATGGAGAGGAAGTCCCGTGTAGGAAGGAAAGTCGTATAGTCCCATGGCTTTATTCAGTCTGTCTCCTCTCCGTCTGAACTGTGAGCTCCCGAGGGCTGGACCGTGCGGGTCTGCTAAGTCCTTTACTCTCAGTCCAGCAGAAGCGCTGCCTTGCAGAAGGAGCCTGGAGATACCATGTGGGAGACAGGCAGCCCTGAGCCCGGGCCTTCCCCCATGCCCCGTGCAAGTCTCTGATTCCCACCGTCAGCTTTCCGAGCAAACTTTCCTCAGGGGCTGCACCTGGGGAGCAAGGGCCTCAGAGCAGGTGGGCTTCAGGGTGTTTCCAAGGGAGGATGGCTCAGTGAGATGCCCAGAAGAGGGCAGACACCAGCACCTTTGGGCCCGATCCTCAGCTTGGAGGCCTCGCCTAGAACCACTATCCTCAAGCTGAGACCTCTTGGGCTAGTTACTTTACTTCTCTGTGTCTTAGTTCCTGCACTTGTACATGGGGAAAAGAATCGTGCCCACTTGCAGAATATCTGTACGGGTTAATTGAAAATGCATGTAAACAGCTCCTCATTCCAAGCAGAATGTGCCAGCCTGTCTGAATTCTGCCCAGTGACTCTGTCTGGCACCATCTAGAGAGCATTTCTTATGTTTTCTTCCCTGACAACCTCTGTGGATAGTTTTAGGTGCAATCATGATATGACTGTTTGTAACTGTATTGTAGGATGGCATTATATGTAGGCTACTTTACATATATTACTACCCGTGTAATACTTAATAATAATAATAATAAAGAACTATTACAGGAGCCTAATCTTCCCCCAGCTACTCTTACCTTGGAAGCTGTAAGCACCCACGTGGAGAGGGAAAAGGCACTAGGAGGAAAGTAGGCCAACTGGTGCCCAGCCGGCACAGCAACGCGATATTTACCAGCACGTCCACATAGAGAACCCAGCAGTGCTCCCGGGGACTAATGCAGAGGGACTGCAGGTCCACGCTGCTCTTGTTGTTGAATATCCGGTAGAGGGTGTTAGCAATCTCTGTGCCAAGGTCATCACCTCCTCGGCCTTCAAATTCAGGGGTAGCATTGGCTGAACTGCGCAGAAGGGAACAGAAAAGCTGGTGAGTCTTTTCAAACGCAAAGAGCAAAGGGGCAAAGCTTTACTCTAGTCGCCCTCCGGAACGATGGGAAGTGACTGGAATGAGGAAAGGATGGCAGCTGGCACTTTCTCAGCCTCCGGACAGACACACACACTGAGCCAGACCAGCACCGGCCCGGGTTTGTCAGTGTGTGTGATGGGCGTTTCCCCTGACTTCTAACCGAAGACATCTTTACCCACGGGAAAGAAGAGAGCAGTGGTCCAGTGAACCTCGGCCAGTAATAATTAACTCTCTTATCTTGAAAGTATAACAAATACCTTCTCTGGCAGGCCGAGGAAGCTGGAGAGCCCAGAGAATCAAACAGTCTGGCGCACAGAAGGGGTTTGTTATATTCACCATCCCCAGCTCTCACAGCTTTAGCACGCGCAACGTACTCTCAAAACAAAAGCCACACAGCGTTAGGTACAATCACCTTCCTGGATTTGTTGTTGTTGTTGTTTTTGTTAATCCTCACCCAAGATTATTTTTTCCCATTGTTTTTTAGAAAGAGTGGAAAGGAGGGGAGGGAGAGACAGAGAGAAACATTGATGTGAGAGAGAGACAGCGATTGGTTGTCTCCCACATGCATCCCAACCAGGCCAGGGATAAAACCTATAACCCAAGTATGTGCCCTTGACCGAGAATCCAACTTTCAGTGTGGAGGCTGACACTCTAACCACTGAGTAACACTGGCTAGAGCTGGAATCTTTCAGAAGATACGTAAGATAGTATGCCAGAGCTATATCATGAACTCTAGGTTATCACTGTACTGAACAGCAGATGAAGTAAGACAGACAGACTGCTGGCAGATTAAATATTAGGTTATCTCTTTTACTTTATTTGTTATTTTTCCAGGAGAAACCCTTTCCCATTCAGGCCTCTTGAATTTTGCACCCAATTACCTCAACACAAGTTGCTATAATTTTAGCCTCCAGTGTTTGAGAGTTAGATTAATAAAGATTTATCCCATCAAAAAAAAACAAAGAATGAAGACACACTAACATTTGCCACCCTAAGCACTACACAAGTGTTTAATAGGAAACTGTGGAGAGTTTTGGCTTAACGAAAACAAACCCCTTAATACATCAGTGAGGTAAGTAAACATTCCAGTGACTACTTCGCTTAATGAGCAGGGCCCAGGGGGGGAGGAAACCAGTTGTTTCCACAAAATCCTAGTGAGGCCCGTGTTCCCCAGCCTGCCTGTGCATCCACGCCTCCACTGGAAGGCACCAGCCAGGTGCCAGGCACTGCAGACCAGAGAGTGTGCAAGAAGGCCACCCTACGTCGGAATCCCAATGAAGTCTGGGGCAGTTCCATTGATAGGGGAGGGAGCAAGCAGCAGGAGTCGGGGTCAGGGAGAGCCTCCATCAGTGTTGAGGGTTATAGGAGACCTCAAACCTAAAGATGAGTAGAAGTTGGTCAGGCCACAGGCACAGACGGCGTGCGTGCGTGCGTGTCTGTGTGCGTGTGTGCATGTGTGTGTGTGTGTTTGCGTGTAAAATGTCCCTTTTGGCCCTAACCAGTTTGGCTTAGTGGATAGAGCATTGGCCTGCGGACTGAAAGGTTGTGGGCACATCCCCAGTAGGAGGTGTGCAGGAGGCAGCTGATGGATGTTTCTCTCTCATCGATGTTTCTAACTCTTTATTCCTCTCCCTTCCTCTCTGTAAAAAAATCGGTAAAATATATTTTAAAAAAAAGAAAAGAAAAAGAAATCCCAGAAACTTGTGGATAATTAAAAAAAAGTCCCTTCTGTCTAGTCCATTCTAATATAGGTGTAAAATGAATCCTAAAATGACCAGAGTGTACGGTTGTATAATAACTCCGCCTTTCTAATCAGACAGTCCTCACTGGCCACTACGAGCCAGCAGAACCTCGATTTAAAATCCCTGAGAAACCTCACTGCTGCCATAGCAACCGCGCTGGTCTCTCCCCGCCTCTGCTGGACTCAGGCACTGAGCCATGGAAAAAAAGCTCATTTATGGCGAAATAATCAAGTCACCAGGGACCAAGTTTATTTTGCACAGCCAGCCAGCAAAACACAACCTGTTCCTAATTCAAACACTAAGCAGTCAATATTGAGTCCCATCTTTTAAGTATTTAAAACACATCTACAGAGATCTCTGTGTAGACAAATCCAGTCCCAGACGCTTACACTCCAAATATTTCCCTTTCCCTGATTATAGTGGGTCCTACCCTCCCGGGTGTGACTGATTACCCAGAGAGGCGGCAGGGTCTCCTCCACAGCCCGATGGGGGGGGGGGGGGGTTTACAGAACTTCCAGGCCCAGCTGGCTAAATTAATGGGCCTACAAAACCACGCCCCATTGGTTTTTTGGCACTGGGCTAATTTAAAGTGGAAAATTTTCCCATTTTTAAAGTGTTTGTGTGTTTTTTTCCTTTTCTTAAACATATCCTTTCAGCACAGCTGGTAGACAGGCAGGAAAGAAAGCTTTGAGGCGGATGAGACCTTAGAAAGCTACTGCGTCTAGATGGCGCCCTGGCCATGGAGTGACTCTGGGGAAGAGGCTGGGAAGAAGGAAACTGTTCAGGGTGGGGATGGGGTACAATGAGAAAAGCCAGAGACCCTGTAAAGGAGGAAGAGAAGAGGCGCAGCAGAAAAATGAGGGTCCCTCCTTACCACTAGGGTTGCCCAGAGCACAGGACCCGTTCTGATGGAGCCGGTCAGAAACGCAGACCTGGCAATCCTCTTAGAGGCAATCTCCAGAGGACCACAACCCAAACGCCCGCAGGGCCAGCCCGGTAACCACAAGCATCTGAACAAAGAGCCAGCCGCATGTACCATTAACAGGGAGCGATGGGGACTTCAGGCCCTATAATCCAATAAAAGCCTCCATTGGGGAAACAAGCATCTGGCAGGTGGGTGGTGGCCTCAGATGGTCAGACTCACTAGCTTTACAAGGAAGGAAACTTAACAACTTTTTTGGAATGTTCACCATGTGCTAGACACCATTCTGAGCACTTTAGATGTATTAACTCATTGAATTCTCACAACGCTAGAGGTTGGCACTGTTACCAACCCCATTTTAGTCACAGAAAGGTTGTGTAACTTGCCCAAGGTCACACACTCAGTGACTGGGGAGCTAAGATCCTAACCCCAGGCAGCCTGGCCTTGTCTGCTGGGCTCCCCTGGACTCTCCCTGAACGTGCTACTTGGCACGCCTGCCTTGTGGGCTAACATCGGTCAGGATGGCTCCCTCCGGCCTGCCTTGTGCCTCAAAGTAATGAATGGGCACTCTGGTCTTGGGACTTACTACTAGAGCACAAATGCTGGCAGTCAAGGAATGTAGACCAAGGGAGTCCTAAATAAAAGCTTCTCTATCGAGTGTAAAATTTAAAGAGAGATCAACGCAGGCTGGCAATCCTAGCCCCCTGCTCAGAGGCATCATAATACATTCTTTCAGTGGGGAGAGTATACACTAAGTTTTGGGTTTTTGTTTTGGGTTTGTGTTTTGTTTTGTTTTTTTTAGCACAAAACCAAGTGCTTTTTATTTTTATAGTTACCCAGTCCAATTCAGATCCTTCATAAAGAACCAGCCCTCCAGGGCTGTGGGGAAATCGCTTACTGAGCTGGATAAACTGATAAAATCTTGGGAACGCTGCCCCTCCCAGGTCTCCACCCTTCCTGACTCATCACCTCCACTCTGCTCTCCGCTCAGCACTTCTCTCCAGGGCTAACTGGGGTAGGCTGGGATCAAGGCCACGTTACCTGCAAGGGGACTCAAGACACTAGGCCCATTGTTGCTTCCCTTACCACTGACCTAGCCTGCAAACGTGGAGTCTGACAGCCAGGCCAGGCCTGGCCCGGCCCATGGCAGCTGGGTGATTTGGTGGGTACCAGGACTCCTCCAGTCATCTAGCCCCACGGCAGGTCCAAGCCTCTGTCCTGTGCTCATTTCTGAGCCTACTGAAGCATCCCAGTAAACGGGTTGGGCATAGCAGCACATTCAGAGCTTGTCACCTAAGCCCTTGTTTGAAGTCCCTGAGAGAGTTATCTCATCAACTATGGAGACTTTCAAAGTATACAGCTTATACAGCTGGCCTCCAATGGCCTCTGCAGGCTCCACTCTGCCTGGCCTCACACCCGGCCTTCAGCCAACAGTGCCCCCTTCAGGCAGCACTGAGCAGGTAGGGAACAGATCAAGTGGGTCCACCCACCAATTCAGGCACAAAACTTGTGGTTCAACACCAGTGATCACACTGAAAAGTAATTAAATCCCAAAGGCAAGTGACACGTCCCGGGCATACTGAAATGCCTACGAATGAAACGTGTGCTCCTCAATAAACACTGAACCCTCTCTGAGAGGCTAAACCACGGTCCCTAAACCCATCAACAGGGAGGTTGGACAGCTGAGAAGCAGCTTGATGTATTGCCACCTAGTGGCAACCCAGAGTGACAATTCATTCAATTCTTACCTTTCGCTAGGTTTTATTTTTAATTTTTATTTTTTAAAATATATTTTATTGATTTTGTACAGAGAGGAAGGGAGAGAGATAGAGAGTTAGAAACATCGATGGGAGAGAGTCATCGATCAGCTGCCTCTTGCACACCCCCTACTGGGAATATGTCTGCAACCAAGGTACATGGGACCCTCAGTCCCCAAGCCGACGCTCTATCCATTGAGCCAAACCGGTTTTGGCTATTTTTTATTTTTATTTATTTATTTATTTATTTTTTAAAATATGTTTTTATTGATTTTGTACAGAGAGGAAGGGAAAGAGAGAGTTGGAAACATCGATGAGAGTCATCGATCAGCTGCCTCTTGCACACCCCCTACTGGGGATATGCCCACAACCAAGGTATATGCCCTTGACCGGAATCGAACTTGGCTGGTGTTTTTTAATGATCTTAACAGTGTGGAGTGCTGGCCAGGTGTCCTGCAGGAGTCTCCCAATCTGGGTTCGTCTGATGCCTTTCTCACGATCAGATATGGGTTTTTGGTAAGAACAGCACGGAGGGGGAGAGTTCTCCTCGCTGCCGCATCCTATCAGGGGTGGGTGACACCCTCACCGCATCACTGAGTCCGAGGGCCGGTGCTCTATCCACTGAGCCAAACCGGTTAGGGCCAAGTTCTTATTTAAAATGGCCTATTTTCAGGCAACGTCTAACAAAGGCCTGAGCAGGAAGTGAGAAGGCCCTGTCGGCTCCGGGTCCAGTGAGTGCTGCCAGGCTTCCCTGGCACAGCGCTCTTGCTCCCCTGGCACGTGGTGAGGGTCAGAGCAGCGGTGGGAGCAGTGTCCTCTACCCCAGACTCCTGCTTTCCAAGTACACCCACGGAAGAAGAAAGAGTTAGCAGAAAAGCACTCTGTCTTCTGAGACCCCCTCTAGCTCTGGGAATTAATAATTAAAACCCGGAAGCAGCTGGTAAGTACTTGTCAAACTGGGCTCAGATGGGCAGGAAAGGACCTTCCTGCTTCCACAGCAGCTGTTTCTCCGAGCTGGGTAAGAATTCAGTTCCAGCCTTGCGCCTCCGGCAGAGGCCCCATCCCCGGGCCTGGGGAAGAGGAGGACAGCACCCCTATTGCTGGGCACTGTTCCCTGGATCAGAATGAAGGGGCCTGTCTGTTATGTAATTTAGAATTGCTCCCTGCAGACCCAAAGGAAGTTCTGAGAGAAGTGGCGGCCAGTGGCGCTTTGTAATCTCTCCCTTCTCCGTAGGAAAACGGGGCTTTATGAATCCCTGATGGTACTCTCCCTGCTGGGCTGATCGCACTAACTGAGCCACTTAAAGATCTACAGTGTGCCACCTGAGACCATCCATCTCGAGAAAGAGATTCAGAGATTGGGAACTGGAGCTTCTAGGCCTGTCGGGGTTCATCTGAGATTTACAAAGGGGGAAGGAGACCAGTGGAGGACACGCAGGAGGCAGCGGATCCATGGTTCTCTCTCATCATTGATGTTTCTCTCCCTCTCTCTCTGATATCAATAAAAATATTTAAAAGAAGAAGAAAACCAGCATGAGGCTGGCTGACGAGTCTGCCCTTCCCCAGCACCCACACTGCCTGCCTCGCTGCCACAGCCTCGGCCTGTCAGGCTGTCTGGCTGGCCCTAGTCCTTGCTCTGCCAAGCTAGTCATGAGAAGTTTTCTGGAAAGCTAGAGCAGAGAGGGAAACAGGGCATTTTAGACCAAATGATCCTTATCATCTGCGTCTGATATTTTTCAAAACATCCATCATCTCATGTGACTCTCATAACCACCCTGAGCTGGGCTGCCTGCAGACACCCTCCTTTCAGACAGAGAAAATGAGGCCCGGTGAGGGCCAGGTGGCCAGCGCAAGGGCAGAACTTGACCCCCACGTCTCCTTCCAATATCTCAGTGCCTGGCACATAGGAGGAACTCAGTAAATCCCTGCTGGCTGGCTGAATGACAAGTCAACACAAAATAAAAGAGGATTAACAGGAAAACAGAGATTCATCCTCTGAATCTTCATCTTTCAAATTGGTTTTCTTTAAAAAGGCACCTGCGTTATACTGACCAGTCAACAAAGAACTCCAAGTAACCTTCATCCGGCTTCTCCAGCTTCGGCGTCCCCATCTCTGCTTTCACTCCCACCAAGATGTCCGTGTGACCCTGCAGACATATGCAAGAAGGGTCTTCACTCCGGGCAGGCGGGCAGGCCCCCAACCACCTCCCTCCTCTCCCGGACGCACACCCCTGGGGACTCTCTTTCCAATGAGCTTGGAAAGTGACCCTCTGGGAAGATGAGGAGTCCTTCAGATCTAGACAGGCCCCACCCAGACAGAGTTTGGCTTGGGTCTTGGATCTTCCCCGAACAATCTGTGTGGCAAAAGCCCGGAGGGGCCTGCTGCCGCTCCCCTGGGCCCTGCCCATTCCTCCAGCGAGGCATGGGGGGACCGCGGCCGCAGCACTCACCAGCTTGACCCTGGCAGACCCACTGGTGTTGGACACCACGTCGGTTTCCACCTCGACACATCGGTAGTCCTCACATCCACGGCCATCCACGCGGAGGTCTTCCTGCGTGCGACAACCGCAATCCGCGGGCTGTGGCCCCACACCAACAGCAGCCCCGAGGCAACGCACCCCCTTTCGTTCCCCTAGGGGAATGTGCAGCGCAGCTTTCTTAGGGAATCAGCCCGTTGCCAGCCCTGATGCCCAAGATGGGTTTCAGAGTGGGCCAGCTGGCGCTTGTCCCTTACCCTCTTTACTCCTTCCATCCCTCACTAGGTCAGCGTTAGCTCACGGGTGTCTTTTACAGCTACAGCCAATACTGCCATTATTCATCGTGTAGCTCCAGATCTGGCCACTGGGAGCTCCCCTGGGTGGGTTCCTGCCTTCTTTCAGCATGCCTCCAACCTTTTTTGAGCACTTCTTCGTTTTCCAGCAACATAAGGCGTCCCAGGCTCTTGTCTTTTCCCAGCCTCTGCCCCTGCTCCTGCACCAGAATCAGCCCTTTCTCCAAGCAGCCCTGGTTACTTTTACTGAAGAAAAACCAGGATCTGAGTGTTAAGTTGGTTCATTGCTGCAGGGGGAGCACTGCTCCTAGAGCTTCCCAGCAGACAGAGCTACAAAACATGTATGTACATGAACCCATGCACACACAAACACACAGCCCATAGGCTGGTGCTCTATCCACTGAGCCAAACCGGCAATTGCTAACACTTTACAAATGCAGGAAATCCACTCCTTGTCAGCTTATAGAGATCTTTCTTGTTCTTTGTAAACACTTTGAAAGCAGTTTATTTTTCCCCCCAGAAAAGGAATCTTTAGAATCAGATTCTCAAAGGGGTTAATGCTCCTCCAAACACTAATACAGTCTTGAAGTGGGTTAACTGTCAGAAGCTTATCTTTAACCTACCTGACTAACTGCGCGTGACTTTATCTTTAGAAATCTATACTAATAAAAGGGCAATATGCTAATTAGACCGGACATCCTTCTGGACAAAGCCGGGGTGCAAAGGGAAGCCAGCACCGGCAGCCGGGGGAAGGAAAGCATACTCTTACACCAATTTCGTGCATCGGGCCTCTAGTTAAAACATAAACAGGCAAAACACTGCGTGCTCCCACCACACAGAACCAGCTACTACCATCAGTCATGTGTGTTTCAGCTTTTTTTTACTCTCAATTCCTGCAAGTCCTCCACTTCCTGAAGGCAATCCCTATCTGAGTCTGGGGAGAAGCGGACCTAAAAAGTAACAGAATTTCAAGTCTGGGAGAATGAGCCTCTGAGGAGAACTCAAAACTATGTAACTGCCTCTTCGCCACCCAGCCACAGAACTCGGGCTTTCTAGGCCAATCTCCGACTCCCCCGTTTGCCACAGCCCCCAGATGAGCCTGCCGGGAAAGGGAAAACCTGGCCCAGAAACATCACTTACACGGGATCCTCCACAGGCTGCAGGCCTGGTACAACCGTGAGCAATCACTTGCTCACTAGGAGCGTTACTCCCGGGCTCCAGGCCTGGTCCTGCCACTAACTAGTTGCTTGACCTCTAGGTAGGACAAGTCCCTTCCCCCTATAGACTAGTTTCCTCATTTACAAGAGAGGACGTTGAAGTAAATGGCCTCACAGGTGCTTCCCTAATTTTACGCATCTATAAATCAAAACAGCCACAATTGTTTGCAAAAACTAATAGTAACTACTTTTTTTTTTTTTTTAATAATAATCCTCACCTGAGGATATCTTCCCATTGATTTTTAGAGAGTGAAAGAGAGAAGGACAGAGAGAAGCATCGATGTGAAACACATAACTGGTTGCCTCCTGTGGGAGTCAGACCAGGACCTGGGCCTGGGCTCGGGAGGAACCTGCAACCAAGGTGCGTGTTCTTGACCCGAATCGAACCCAGGACCCTTCGGTTCACAGGCTGATGCTCTATTCACTGAGCCATACCGGGCATATATAGTAGATGCACTATTTAATGTGCATCTACTATATATGAGCTAATGCTCTAGACACACTCCACAGTTAACAACATTGAGTCCATTATGCAAACAGTAAAATGGTTGAAAGATGCTAAATGGCTGGCCGGGTTCTCACAGCCAAAAGTAGCACTTTAATTCCCAGCCAGAGCTCGTCACCACAACTCCACACCCCCTGCCTGCATTCTGAAGGAACCCTGTCCTCAGCAAGGGACTAACCACCTTTTTAGATAAAGGGCTTCTGGGTGCTGGGATGGCCCCGGTGACTTTTAGTTTGTTACCTAGGTGATCACGACACTCTGCTGGTTGGGTGTGGTGTGGCACAATCACTTCCAATCTGTATTTATTTATTTATTTATTTGTTTATTTATTTATAAATATTTTTTATTGATTTTTTACAAAGAGGAAGAGAGAGAGATAGAGTTAGAAACATCGATCAGCTGCCTCCTGCACACTCCCCACTGGGGATGTGCCCGCACCAAGGTACATGCCCTTGATCGGAATCGAACCTGAGACCCTTCAGTCCGCAGGCCGACGCTCTATCCACTGAGCCAAACCAGTCAGGGCCCATTCTGTATTTAATTCTCTGCTGTCACATACCAGCTCTGTGACCTTGAGCAAGTTCCTCAACAGCTCTGAGTCTGTCTCTTCACCTAGAAAGCAGGACTAACCCTGACCTTACAGAGTTTTGGGAGAACGTGAAAACCCTAAATCATTTACAGGGACCTTTCAGCACAGCCCATCAGCAGCTCCCTTCTCCGGCTTCTGGGGGAAGGTATCAGCTCACCGAATCCTCAAAGCCAGCCCTGCAGAGAGAATACAGACCAGGATATTGAGCTGAGGCACCACAATCTTCTGTTTGTGACCAAGTGGACGGACATGTGACTCAGCCCAGGGTTGCTTTACCCAGGTCACCCAGTCCTGTTTCTCCTTAATAGAAGCCAACAAGCCAGCTCTGCTAATCCAACACCCTTGGGAAGGTTTCAGGCTCGAGGTCCCCTGAGGTGAGGGTGCCCTGAACGCCCTTGCTTTGACTTGTCCAATACCCGGAGCTTGCTAGAGAACTGAGCCTAGAACGCCTTCCCCATTAGAACACAACACACTTAGGAAAGGGACCGTGACTGGGCCAGCGTTGCAGGCCCAGGCCCAAGACACGGCGGGCAAAACTAGATACTGATCTTCTTTTCACGTGCAAACCTGAGTAGCCCCACTCCATCCTTTGAAAGGATGTGGTACCCTTCACCTTGGGGAGTGCCCGGCGCAGCCTTTGTGTGCCAGGGGCCTGTACATGGAAATGGCACAGGGCTCAAAATCCAGTGCCTTGCACCGCGCCTACACAGCTGAGTTCTGACTGCTCCGCCTCACAGGTGAGGATCAGGCCCTGGTCTCCTTCTGTGCTGCAACTCCCCCTCATTCCCCCCCCAAAAAACCCACAATGCTCCCAGTTAAAGCTGGAGCCACAGAAAAGAAGCTGAAACTATCAATTGAGCTACACTTACTTTCAACTGCCGAGAAAAATTCAAAGAAATGGCTTTGCCGGGACCCCAAGTGGCATGCTTCTTGGTGAGGCTAATCATTGGCCGTGGCCTGCTCTGAACCTCTGATATCATATGCACCGAACAAAAGTGGGGAGAAGGGACTTAACAGAAATCAATCAAATCATATATTAAAATACTGATCTATCAGTCTTTCCATTTGCCCTGCCTCACCTCCTCAGATCCATTCTCCATCTTTCCCTGCCTTAATCCGGGCTCCAGGTGGACTCCCTCAAAACTGCATCACCTGGACTCTCTCTGCTGATTTCTGGTTGAGTTTGGCCAATGGAAGTTACCAAAGGAAAACAGATTGCCCCCCTCCATCCCTGCTCCCGTGGCAGTGCTTGCATTTATTATTATTTTATTGACAGTGCTTGCATCTACCCAGAGCTGCTGGCAGCTCTTCCTGGTATCACTGGGATCTGGTAACGCTATTTCCTTCTTGGGCCCCTTTGACCTTGAGGTGGTCACTGCGTCCCATGGTCATTGGTCTTTGTGCTCTTCAACATCTCTTGTTGGTTCCCTGAAATACACCCACATTGTCATAAGTCTCCTGAATTACCCGGATTAAACTCCGTTTTCTGCCAGAGCCTAAAATGATTCATCTTCCTGTCCCACAAATTGCTCACTCCCCTCCCCACCTCCTCCCACAGTGGCCATGTCTGAGCCTAATGATTCTGTCCAGCAACGAGTCTGGAACTAAACTACAAAGACTTGTTTCTTACAGAGGGTACTGTAACCCCAGGAGCTGGGAGGTAACCAGTCTTTCTACCACAAGGCCTGAGACACAGAAAGCCAACACAAAGGCTGTAAAGAAACTCACAGACGCAATATGGCTCTAGCAGCAAAGGCATCTGGGAAATGTTGGGCTCTTAACTCTTTGTAGCCTCAGGACTGACTACCCAGGAAACTGGAACACTGCCCAAAGGTAAAGGTCATGCTCCCAGGAGATTAATGACTGTTACAGTGTGATGACTGCCTGATGTTATGTTACCTTTGAAATACATTGTTTTTCCTGGTGGTCTACATGATTTACCACCATATGGTTTTACTATTAACCCCTATAAGAAAAACAAAACAAAACAAAACATGAGGCTCTGTCCCAGGAGGGGGTGGATTTATTCCAGGCCTGCCACCACTGGGAGCAGCTGTAAGTTTCTCCTATTAAAGCTCTTATGAATTTGAATAAAGCCACATGCCAGATCTTCAGAATCCATCCTGAATTTACACTTCTGGGGCTTTCGTCAACCAGAGAGAAGAGAACACGGCAAAACCATTGAAAACAGCAGAGACAAATAAGGGAAGCCCTTGCATGTTTGGAGAAACACAGCCTTCTCATAGATACACTTTTCTTGCTTGAGCCAGTGTGTTCGTTAACATAATTATCAACTGACTCCTCAACACACACTGTGAGGTTACTTTCAACTGCTTCTAATTACCACCAAGCCAAGATGAAATATCCCAGAAATAGTGACAGAATCCAAGGCTGAGGGCAAGGGATGCCAGAAGCTGAAACTAACCAAATAGGACCAAAGGTGGAAAATAAAACACAAAAAGACTGGGTCTTCAGAGACAAGAACAGGATTCCTGCTAGGCACTGCTGAAGGCAGCATTGCTGACACTCGGGAACCAACTACCACACGTTTAGGTGATGTTTGAACTGAGCCAGTGAGATCTGTGGTAGGCTCGCTCACCCACAGTATAAATGCACAACCAACAGCGTAAATTCTGCTTTGCTCCTCCAAGAATTCCATCTTGCTGCTCCATGAGCAGGGCCAATCTGTGGGAAATGTTAACAATCCTTACAAGGAGGTTTATTCGGTCAGTTCGGTCTGCATGGCTCTGTGATAGATACAATCGCGGCTTTCATACGTCCATGGTACTGGTCAGAGGTTTAATTTAAAAACTGAAAACTCTGTCCAACTCATTGCCCTTTAAGGACTACCTTACTCCATCAATGTTACCAAGTGCCTACCTACCAAGGGCCGGACACTGGCTAGGGCCTTAAAGGTATATACATACAAGCGAATTATTAACTGCCAAGATGTAACCCCAGGAGGTGGGAGGTAACTAGTCTTTCTACCACAAGGCCTGAGAAACTTAGAGGCAGTGGCGGAGCCTCTAAGACTCCCTAGGATCAAGCTTCTGGTCACCTCTGCAACCTCATCTTCCACCAGTACCCTCAGTGAGCAGACTCACCATCCTTCCCTTTCGGAAGGCTCAAGCTTACTCAATTCTTTTTTTTAAAAAAATATATTTTATTGATTTTTTACAGAGAGGAAGGGAGAGAGAGAGAGCTAGAAACGTCGATGAGAGAGAAACATTGACCAGCTGCCTCTTGCACACCCCCCACCGGGGATGTGCCTGCAAACAAGGTATATGCCCTTGACCGAATCGAACCGGAGACCTTCAGACCGACGCTCTACCACTGAGCCAAACCGGTTTCGGCAGCTTACTCAACTCTTGATCGTGCTGGGAGCTCAGCTCAAATGCTATTTCCTTAGGGAAGCCTCCTCTGACTTCCCATACTAGGCAGGACCTTTTTCCTTCAAGGCACTTGGTAAAATTTTACATGTAAATGCACAAAGTGATCTGTAATTTCAACAGCACGGGTGTTATACAAGGGCAGGCTATGTCCTAGCCTCCACTCTAGCTCAGTCCTAGGTGGAATGAATGAACTACCGAGTCCAGGAGATACACCGAAGGGCACTCAACATGGATTCAGGAGAGCAATTCCACCTCCTTGGGGGAAAGCTTCAGAGCATTATAGCCCCCAATATCCCTTAGTTCCTTTGACTCCCACCACCTATAGCATCCCCTTGATATATACCTTATATTCCACTGCCTTTATTTTATATTCCTCTTTGAACTAATAAAGGAATCAAAAGGCTGAGGTTAAAGGAACGCCGGGAGAGCTGAAATGGACCACACTGAACCAAAAGTGAAAAGTAAAATACGAAACGATGAGGTCTAGACAGGATTCTGGCTAGGATGTGGGGAGCCGTCTCCCATCTGGGGAGGTTACAGACGAGAAGGCCACACTCGGCTCCCCCCGCTGGCCCATTACCAGGCCTGGCATCCTCCGGCTCCGGGGCTGGCGAGGCCAACACCCGGGCTGAGGAGGGAGCGCAGACGAGCGCAGTGTTAGCTCCAGCTGCCTCTCGGGATCTCCCTTCTCCAATGGCGCACGGGAGACTGCCAGCGCTGTGCTGCCGGCCGGGCAGCCGCTTTCTAAACACCTTCCCCTTTGTTTCTAAGTCGATGTACATGGTCAAAGCGCTTTCACCCCCGGTGCCTTCTTTCTCCCCGCGACTCCCCACCGCTCGGGGCGGAGAGCGGACCAAAGCCCACACCCGCCGGAGAGCGCCCCGCCGTCAGCCCTAAATGGACGTCCGCCGCCGGCTTCAGGGAAACCCAGACCCGCCGATCCGCCCGGGCGAACCCAGGGCCGGGGCCACCGGCGGCCGCCGCCCGCGCCGCCGCGGCAGCTACCTGCACGCCGTGCACGATGTACACCTTCTCCGCCTCGCTCAGCGACACGGACGCCATGCTGCCCCGAGCTCTTGCGTCATCAGCCCGCGCCGGCCGCACCCCCGGTCGCGTCATCAGCCCGCGCGGCGGCCGCCCCTGTAGGCGCCACCGCGGGAGCCGGGAGCTCCATGGGCTTCTCCTGTGCGCCGCCGGGTGTCTGGCCGAGTCCAGGGAGCCGCGGCGCCTCGTGCCCGGGAGCCATCGCTGCGGCCCGAGGCCGGGTCCCGGGTCGGGGACTGCAGGGGCAGGCGGCGGCGGCGGCGGGAGCCTCACCGGGGGCCTGGGACTGGGGAACTGCCTCCGACTTCACGGTCAGTTGGGAGGCGGAACTGGGGCTGGTGGAAGCGCCGGGGCGAGGCGGGAGGCGCGGGCCGGGCCGGGGCCGGTGGACGCCGCCGAGAGGCGCGCGGCGCAGTGTGCTCAGGGCTGGAGTTGAAGTAGCAGATCGTGTGCGTGTGAAGGAGCCGGTCATGTGCGATCGAGAAAGAGAGAGAGACCCTGAGGGAGGGAGGGGACTTCGTGATCGGCCCGGGGAAGGAAGAGGGGCTGTCTCCTCCCCCTCCCCTACCACCTTGTCCCTGCATCTCCCTGGTCCCTGGGATGGATGAAAAGAGGAGGCGATGGAGCCCGCTTTCGGTTATTCTTGGTGGGGAGGGTCCGGACCAGGTGTGAGTCCCGAGGCGTCCCCACTCCACCTCGGGGATCCTCCTCTCCCATCCTCCGCTCTCGCTCTCTCGGGCTTACCTAACGCTGACCCAGGACTTTGCAGGATCCCCTTGTCCCTGGCGGGCGGAGGAGAGTCTTGGTACCCGGCGCTGGCGAGCGGCGCAGTGCCCAGGCGTTCCCAGCGGTGGCTGGCTGGGAACCCTGGCTTGATGGGGTGATTCTGGGAGCTGTGGACAGCTGCTTAGAGGTGTGTGTGTGTGTAGAGTGGAGGGTTGGGGGGAGGAGAAAGAGAGAGGAGAACAGCCCAGGCGATGGCCCATGGCCGTTTAGGACTATGGGCCTTGGGTATCCAGAAAGGATACCTGCAAGGTGAATATGGGGTCACTGAAGGAGCCCATTAAGGCGGGGCAAACAGGGGATGGTACAGATTTTAAAGGAACCATGTGGATGAATGCAGGAAAGTTAACCAAAAGAAGCAAAGAGGGCATCTGGTAACTTTTCCAAATGCATCCCTTCTTTTTAAAATTCTTCACCAGAGGACATGCCTAGAGAGGGGAAGAGGAAGAAACATCTGTGTGTGAGAGAATCATCCATCCCATGCCCTGCGCATGCTCCCTGAGCAGGGATCCCAGCCACTTGCCCTGATCAGTGATAGAGGCAGGTGTATAGACGACGCCCAACCAACCCAACTGGGTCCAAATGTCCCTTTTTTTTTTTTTTTTTTTTTTTTTTTAAAGAATCTTCTTGTTTTTCAAAACAAGATGGCTTGGTTGTCCAAAAAGTGGTGTTTTGCAGACATTATCTTCACACAGATCATAACTGTTGGGAGCTTACTATGGATGGGCTTTGGGCTAGCTTTGGAACCCTAAGACAAGTGAAACACAACTTCTGCCCCGTCACGCTCCCCAGACAGAGGGGAAGGCTCCAGGGCCAAAGTAACCACAGAACATGGTGGTTAGGAGCTGTGATGACGGCGCTAATGAGCACAGTGGGATGGGGATATGGGTCCGAGGAAGGTACAGAAAGAAAATACCCTCCCACGTTGTTAAGCACTAAACTGCCGAGCCTCCAAAATACATAGATGATCACTTCTCGGTAGACTAGACATTGGTCGTTTCTTATGCCTCTACATGGTAGTTCTCTACAGGACCATCTCCAGTGAAGACATTTTGCAGGGTAGGACTTGGCCCTCCAGGGAAATTGCAAAGGTGACGCTGGAAGGGTTTCCTTACTAATGAAAGCAGAGGCTCCCCACCTGTTGTGGCACATCGATGCCTTTGAGTGTGGTTGGACGCCTGGATTCCATGCGAAGAACTCTGGGATGAGATAACAAGGGACTGCTGGTGTTAAAAGGAGTGTTTTGCGCTCGAGATGGCTCAGAAAGGATGTGTACTCTTAGTAGCTAGGATATCTAAAAGCACTGAAGATTTAAAAAGTGGAAGCAAATGGACAGATCAGAAAAGACACAGAAATGAAAGTCTGAGTTTGGATTCCATGGAATCATCTCTATATAAAAGTCTTAAAGAAATATAGAAGATCTCTGAACTGTTTCCCTGACAACTGACTAAAAGTTCCTTGATGGAGAAGGGTTGGCAGTGTTTGCTAAGTAATATTATGAATGATGTCAGACATGTTAGTAGGCTAAGTAGGTGAGAGGTGGAAACAGTAGAATGTTCATTCTGAATTCTCTACTAAAACAATGACACCTTCCCTCATTGTTCTACTTCATTGCCATCGGGACATTTTCATCCCATTTGTTGTGATAAAGCATTAGACATTTAAAAAAAAAATACATCTTTTAATTGATTTTAGAGAGGAAGGGAGAGAGAGAGAAATATCAATGATGAGAATTATTGATCAGCTGCCTCCTGCACGCCCCCTACTGGGGATCGAGTCTGGGTTGCGGATGCTCTATCCACTGAGACAAATCAGCTAGGGCAAGCATTAGACATTTTAAAAACCCATAAATTCAGAGTTCTTTTTTGGTTTATTGAAGCAATTTAAAGAATTTATGTTAGCAAGAAAATCAAGAAGCCAGGGATAGCACATTCCATTAAACCAACTAATTTTTCCATCACTGTCAGATTCTTTGGGGAGCACACTGTTTTGTAGGTCTGTCTATTCTAAATCTCTGCTCTATTAATTCTATTTAACACAAACTTACCTACTGATTATTATGTGCCAAAAACTGTTTTAAAACACTTTATAAAGATTATCTGACTCAGTTCTCAGAGTACTATGAGACAGCTACTGTTAATCTCTGTTTTACAGATTGGGGTGCAGAGAGGGTAACTGTCTAGACCAGCAGTCACCAATCTTTCAGACCTCTCGGACCACCAATGGTCCCTCGGACCATCTGTTGGCGACCACTTGTTACTAGAACAAGGTAGTAAGTGGCAGAGCCAAGATTTGAGACCAGGTAATTTGGCTCCCATATTGTACACCTAACCATCCCTTTATGCAGTCCCCATTACATTCACGGGAGTATTTGCTGAAGGAGGCCTTTGTTGGTAATGGAAACACACCTTTTCCCTTATCTAAAAGGTGAGCCAAGCTTAACCCAAAGAAGCTGAGGAGAGCTCTCGACAGCAGAGCGGGCCAATGGATGGGGTACAGAGGACTGAGATAGGCTTGGAGACCCGATTCCAACTGTGTGCTTTACACCCAGGATAGACTTCTGAAAGCTCTTCAGACAGGCAGGAAATAGTTGTTTGCATGCTCGTGAGTAGTGTGCTCAGGGCCTGAAGAGGTAAACTGAAAACACATGCCTACCTAAGAGAAGTTCAGGACCTATAGCTGGAGAGCCTGGACACTTGAACTAGTGCATGAGCAAGACAATAAAGTCAAATGCTCAGTTGAGACTCGTGGTAATTAGACAAGAGGCCAGCCTATAATAACGTGCTAATTGTGCTGGCCAGGTATCAAGGGCAAGACGTAAGGAGCTGCTGCTAGCCACCAGCCGGCAACAAAAACCTAGCCATGGTTCATTAAAGCAGTAAAAGCGGTCACAGGAGCTCCGGGGCAGAGTCCGAGGTGCTGAAGCTGCGGAATGCTCCCACAAGCCCAGCAGAGGAACAAACATTTTATTCCCAGCCTTTAAAGAGGTAGCCAAATGTTAAGTCTTTTTCCTTTGCATTTTCACAATTAGCTACTATTTTCTCTGTAGATCTGTTTCCTTTAAGCGCTATGCATTTGTTATGCCTGTACTTTGTCTTAAAGAATATTCAATATAAGTAACTTGTGCAACTGTAGCCAGCAGGCCTGTGTCTGTCTTGCTGATCTAGAAATTATAACTTACGATCACATTGATAGAAAAATTGATAGGAATACATGGACAAAACTTACTCTCATGTAGAGGAAGGGTATTCACAAGTGGGTTTCATTTTGAGAGGGTGGCAGGGTGCTTGCTTTGCCTTGCATCGGGGCACATGTGAGAAAAGGGGTCCCATGTGATCAGCAAATCTGTAAATATCTAAACACATACACACCCTGAGAGCCATAGAAAGTAACAGAATCTGCCGAAACCGGTTTGGCTCAGTGGTAGAGTGTCGGTCTGCGGACTGAAGGGTCCCGGGTTCGATTCCGGTCAAGGGCTTGTACGTTGGTTGCGGGCACATCCCCAGTGAGGGGTGTGCAGGAGGCAACTGGTCGATGTTTCTCTCTCATCGATGTTTCTGGCTATCTTTCTCCCTTCTTCTCTGTAAAAAAATCAATAAAATATATTTAAAAAAAAAAAAAAAGTAACAGAATCTGCAGTAGAATAGGGGAGCGATGTCAGGATATTGACCTGTTGGGAGGGAAAAAAGAGTCTACTTACATACTTCTCTCTAGTTACTTCCCGTTTTTGCGTTTTTTAATCCTCCGCCTTCCTCTCTGGAAGCAGATTTCCAGAGGCACGTGGCCAGGTCATTTCTGGCTGTGGAGGTGCAGTGAGCGATGAAGGTGAGAAGGCTCCATTTGCATGCCCCACCCAATAGTCATTCATCCTGGAAAACCACATCTTTTCACAGTCTTCTCCAAACTATAAACTTCCTGGTGTGTAGAGACTTGGTGATTGAACTCTGGACCTTCTTGGTACCTGAGGCGTGAATGTCTTCTCTGCAGGGTCCACAGGGACCGAAAGCCTTTGGATGGAATCGACTTTTCACCTTGGTAAAATGAGCCTAGTGGGACAAGTCCAGTCCCGTTGCAATAAGTCTTAACTTCGCTGTGTACAAAGTATACATTTCTAAGCCAAGTAGTAGCAGGGAATCTAGAAAGGCAGGTTGGTTGGGAAGATAAGGATCTATGGTGGCAAGACAATTGGGCACCCACGCCAATGATCTGTACTTTGCCACTAACTAGTTTTGTGA